GATTTAATGAATTATAATTATATTAGCCCAAAAAAAGTTTATGAATACAAACGTTTTTATCTATTGGTTTGTATGTAGCCATTATATACTCAAAAATATCTAAAGACTGATTGCAATCATCAACTATATCATTCAAGTATGCACGTAATATAGATAAATAACAAAAGAGCAGTACATTAAAAACAATAATAATCATAAACTATTTGAGCTATACAAAGTTAACTACCCATTTTTCATAACATGAAAATTTTAAAGCAGACCTGACTGGCCGGCTTTCCTTTTTTTGTTTTTTTTAAAAAAAAAAAAACTGCTCAGTTATTAAAATATAAAAAATGGTTTTTAATTTAGCCGGCCAGGTTATGAAAACCAATTAATTAATTTTGCATAGCCTTAATTAAATGATTAATTAATTAATACCATTCACTGGATAATTAAAAAATGGTTTTGCTAATTCCGCCAAAATTACAGAACTTGCAGGTAATCGGGCGACATGTTTCCACTGTTTAAGCAAGCTAAGAATCTCTGACCAAAAATTTATATAATCTCCTGTGCCTCGGATACTATGCGTATCTGAACCTTTACCTACAATATCGCTTGTAGGTAGCGAACTTAAAGAAGCATTCGCAAAGTTCCCATTCATTCCAGTCAATGCATTACTACCATATTTTCTAGACAAGACTTTTTCAATTTCCTTTTCCAATTTATTAATATCTGAACGCTGTTGTACAACAGCCTTAGAACGTAAAACTCGCAAAGGACTGTTTGGATAATTATCCCGCTTTGGCGTTATTGGTGATTCAATTTTTGTAGAGGTTGGTGAATAAAATTCTTCAACTCCATCATCGGCAAGAACGGACGGCTGAGGAGGTGAAGGAGGTACATTTTTCTCGACCAAAACATGTTCTCTTATCAATTGCCAACGAGAACGATTAAATTCATTAGGAGATGCGGATGAATTTATTTGAGGAGGATATGAAGTAGCTTCTGGATCATTATCCCCTGTAGCGACGTCCAATGGAGTCACAAGATATCCATTAGACTCAGAGGCATGCGATTCTTTTAGTTATCGTATATGAAATAAGTTACAAATAATCGTAAATTATCGTAAATATAAGAACATTAAAACAACACAAAATTACCTTCTGAGATATCCATAATGTTTTAAAACTAACGAATGAAATAAGGAATGAAAAAAGTAACGTCTCCGATTGTTAATGAATGTTAAATAAACAACAACCTGTATTTATCGTTACATGCTAGGGCTTGACAGATACCCAAAGTTAGTAATTTGTGATATAAAGGGTAGCTCTCATTTTAGGAATGATTAGCTACACACAGACAAGAATATCAAGAATATGATTGGTAAATGAAATATATTAACTGTTAATCATAAAATGTCGATACGTGGATTCAGTTTTACAATGCATATATTACTGTATTATATAATGCAATATTTGTACATGTTTTGGGTTAAGCTTTTTAGAACACAAGCTTATCGTTGTGCCTTATATGTATAATGAAATTAAATACGTAATCATTTGTTTATAAAAAACCTTAATATACAAATATACAATTTATTAGTCTAAAAACTAGTCCTGAAATTCGAATAAATGACAAGTTACCAAAATAGGATTTATTATTGTATTAACACCAAAGTAACCTTCAAGATAACTTTGCATGATTAGTGTAGGATTGCAAAATTATATTTAACAATAAGAAAACATTATAAGTCACCAATTAAAACAAAATATAACCTAGATCTAATATCAGGTATATGAAAGCATATATACTGTTACACTTTCATAATGAATGGCCCTCGCCTTCGTAAATATCAATTAATCATCCTCCCCAGGAACCAACAATTTAAGTAATTCGCGCATTATTTCCATTCCAGCCGGGTAATCCCCGGGACACTGAAAAATACGTTCAAATCCTTCAGTTTTTCTAATCTTTTGAAATTCTCCGGCAACATATTTCATAACATCTGATTTTAAATCAGACCATTGCCAGACTATTCCAAACAAAAATTCTGCTGCATTTTCAACAGTTAATTCATTAAAGATTTTAGATTTCGCTATTTGTCTTAATTCGGTTACAAGATATTTATCTGCTACGATAAATATATCAATTGGTCTCTTATGTAAAGAGTTGGAATCGAATTCAACGTGATTCGTATAAAGGAATCGAAGTAATTCCATAAAAGTTTCCTGATGAATATCGGGTATATTTATCTGATATTTTTTTCCTTCTTGGGAAGGCACGTCACCGTCGTCGTTTAATCGTACTTCATCATTTGATGATTCTGATTCGTCTTCTGGTTCTTTATCCGTGTGATTTTTATTTGGATGTCGATTATTATAATTATTTTGCTGAGAACCTCGTTGCGAACCTTCAATCCAACTACCTTCGATTATTTTTCGAAAATATTCCGAGCGTTTTGTGAGAATAGAACTACGCGCAAATATTGTTGTTTCTGACAAGTTAAATTGAACGTCTGAAATATCTGGCTGATTTAGCTCTTCGTACCAAGCATCGATGATATCTTTCGGCCAGGGTTTAGAAGGAAGACAATGATATTTCGGTTTTTCATTCTCTAATCTGGTATCATCAATCCAAACTCCTATCGTAACATCTCCGGTTTCGGGAAAATTTTTTGAATGAACGAATTTTTCAATACCTATTTCCAAATTTTAATTAAATTTTTTATACATTATTCAACTTTTGATTTTTTTGACTTCATAATTTCTTTTTTTTTTTTACTCACCAAATTCATAATCTTTACTTGAAGCATCACTTAATGGTCCATGTTCTAACG